GGAGGGAAGGAGGGAGGGAGGCAGGACGGGACACAGCCTCCAGAGAAAAGGACCAGGGCGGAGACGGGTGGGCGGAAGAGGAGGGGGCAGAAGGCCCAGGCCCCGGGGGGCTGGCGGGCGAAGCAGGAGGAGCAGGTCCGAGGGAGCTGGACCAGATCTTGCCGGCCAGGGACCACAGTAGGAGCAATGGCCAGGGGCTGCCAGGCAGGAGAGCGGGCTGGACGGGAGGATGGGCACCCAGTGCCTGGGCAGGCGGGCACAGGAGCCCATGGCGAGAGGGTGGCAGCCTCCCAGGTAGCCCAACGTTGGGGGGTGGTGCAGAGGCAGAAAGACGCAGAAGAAGGGGGAGGGAGGAGGTGGCCAGCTTTGAGGGCCGCCCGGTCGCCAAGCCAGGCAGCAGGCCGGCAGGGAGGGTTTTTCTGTGACATTTTTACTAGGTCTTGGAAGGAGGCGGTAGAGGAGCCGAGGGGCGAAGGGGTGGGGGGGACCCAAGGAAGGCAGCTACTCAGCTTCCTGAGGAGGCGAGGGGAGAGGGAGACCCACAGAGGCAGGGGACGGACACAGGACAGGAGGGCGGGCGGGCCGGGGGTCTGAGGGGCCAGCCGCAGCAGGACAAGCAGCAGGCACGCCGCCGCGAGGCCATCAGGGAAGGTGCGGCAGCACCCCAGGGCCGGGGGCAGGCCAGGGGGCAGGGGGTGCAGAATGACTGACCCGGCTCTCCTGAGGACTTCCAACAGACAGGGCCTGGAGAAGATCCTCAGGTAGGTGCCCCCCACCCACCCACCACACTGACCCAGGCTGCGTGGGGAGCAGGCCGGGTGCCCACAGTGAGCTGGCACCATGGATCTAAGAACGCGTCCCCAGCCCCAATGGGCCTGGCGCCTCTGAGCTGCGGGCAGTGCGAGGGGTGTGCATGTGTGTGTGTGCAGGTGTGTGCACACACGGATGCACGAGGGCCCCGGTCCTCACGGCATCCCCCACCCCCACCCATGTCCTCCTGGCACAGCTGGGCCTCGGCTAGCCCTCCTTCCACCCAGGGGTGTCCTCCAAGCTGTTCTCTGATGGCCAGTAAGGGCCCGGAGGGGCTGGCAGAGCTGGTGCCTGGCTCCTGCTCACCCTGAGAGTCGTTTCCTGCACCGCCTGGTGTTACAGCCAGAGAGTGGACCTGACCAGCCCTGTGTGCCACCCCTGTCCTCAGCAAGTTTGCCCTGTGTGACCACCGGAGCCACCAGGCCCATCCCCTGGCTGATGGCTTCCCTCTGGGGCCCTGGGCCCTGAGCCAGGCCTGCTCTCAGCCAGCCTCAGGGGTGGCCTCAGGGTGGTGGGTACAGGCACCCCGGAGGATGGCAAGCTGCCCCTCCTCTGAGTCCCCCCACTGAGCACTTTCTCCTCCTCAGCCCTTCCTCTGGGGCTCAGCTGGAGTGCCACCCCCTACAGGAAGCCCCGCTTGACTTCCCTCTGTCTCCAGTTGGGGAGGCTAGCTGGGGAGGGACCTGGTGGCCAGGACTCCCAGAGGGCAGGGGTGAGTGGCACCTGCTGGGGCCTTCCCGTCGCTCTACCCAGGCTGGCTGGGTGCAGGAGGAGTCGGTAGGTTCAGGCCCGACCACGGCGGTGCGTGTGCCAGGCCCACAGGCAGGGCTTTGCAGGGCGTTGCTGGCATAGGCCCTATACCGCCGTCCAGGTCAGGGCCCGGCCAGGCTTGGAGTAGCCTCTGCTGAGTCCTTCCAGCTTCTTGACCCTCGGCGTCCTGGCCTCCTGGACAGCGAAGGGCAGGAGACTGCAGGGCCCAGCACAGGTCCAGGCAGTTGCCTCCACAAGCCCTTCTGGCCCATGGTGGGGGGCGGGGGGGAGCTCGGCACATTCTGGGGGTCCCCACATGGCTGCAGACGGAATCCTAGGGAAGGTGGGGCGCCCCTCCCTCCGGCTCAGCAGCTCCACTTAACAATACATGAGGAAACTGAGCCCAGAGCTTCCCTGAGCAGGCCACTGGGAGGGCCGGGGAGGACTGCATGGGACTTGGCTGGGCTGCGAGGAAGGCCCGGCAGGGCCCAGCCAGGCACCATTTGTCCAGGGCATATGAGCAAGTACATCCATGGGCACAAAGGGATGCACACACCTCCAGGTCCCCTGACTGACATTCTCCACCCAAGCAAGGGTCCGAGGTCCCGGCTGCCCCCTCCTCAGCCCCTCCCAGTGAGTGATCCGGCTGCCAGTTTGCCCTTGGTTGCACAGCAGGGAGCTGGGACCACTCCTGGGCCCACCCTGTTGCCTGCCCATCCTGGGTGTGGGGAGAGCCCGGTCTGTCCCTGGGGTATACATCATCAAATGCAGGTAAGCTTCCCCACCTCCCCAGCTAAACCTAGGTGTAAATCTCGGGACGGGGAGGGCAGGGGTGGACACGTGGCCCCAGCGGCCACTTGCTCCCCAGACCACCCCATCCAGTTTTGGCACCTCCAGCTGCCCCTCCAAGCAGCTAGGTGTCCACTGCTCCCCTGCCCTCCCCGGAGCTCCAGGTGCCCAGGCCTATCTCCCTGGCTCATGTGGACAGCGGGGACACTGGGGCTGGCAGCAGCTGGGCCGGGCCAGTCCTTTGGGGCTGAATAAGCCAACCCTGCCCACTGCTGAAGTGGCCATGGTGGGAATCCTGGGCTCGCTCCCCCACCCCAGTGTCCTGGGGGGGCCTCCTGTGGTTCTGTGGATGGCTGGAGGGGCCCCCACCCACTCACTACAGGTTGGCACCAGGACTCTGCCTGGCTGGGGCTCTGGCAGAGGGAGTGGGGGGCTGGACACAGGGTGCTGTGGGTGACATCCCTCCTCTCTGGGGTGAGGAGGGGCACCAGGCTTGGCCCACCCCAGGGAGGCATGAGTAGGGAGAGCGGGAGGGGAGAGCAGGGTGCAGGTGAGAGATGGAGCCAAGGCCTGCCAGCGAGCTGGGGGCATCCGGGGTGGCTCTGAATTTTCCTGGGGACATGGCCTTGCCTGGTAATGGTGGGGGTGTGTAGCAAGAGAGCAGAGTGAGGGAAGATCGGGGTGAGGGTGAGGGGGCCCAGCCAGGGAAAGAGGAGTGCAAGGGGAGGGGGCAACTCCAAAGAGAGCCAGACATGGGCGCCGGCTAGCTGGCTGGCTGGCGCAGTGCGAGGTGTGGGGCTGCGGGCAGGATCCAGGGAGCAGGACGCAGTGCCCTGGCTGAATGCCGGGGAGCTGTGGGATGTGGGGGTCATTATGCCAGGGGGCAGGATGCAGCCTGTGGGGTGTGTGGGCTGATGCGAGGTGCCAGGTGGCCAGATGGTGGCAGGCAGGCTGCAGGAGGGTGGGGTGGCCGGATGGCCAGGATGGCCAGGACGCCGGTGTGGGCGGAGTGTGAGGGCGGGCGCAGAGGCAGCAGAGACAAGGGATTCCAGACAGGAGGTAGGCCCATTTGACAGATGAGGGGACCAAGGCTCAGAGAGACCCCTTGACTGCAGTGGTCCCGTGCCCCTCCTCAGTTTCCCAACTGGGATGGTTGGGGGTTTCAGTGTGTTGGTGGTATGTGGGGATCTGCCCTATCATGTGGGAGACCACCACCCCTGCTCCTGGCCCTTACCTCAGAGATGGGGACCCGGGTGGGATGGGGTGGCGTGGGGGGCTCTGGAACCAGAGGCCGCTGGGCCATCTGCAGACAGGAAGATGCTCCACTGGTGTTTCTGGTCTGCCCCCGACCCTTCCCCTGAAGTATCCATTCCCAGAGCGGTGCATGCCAGCCAGGCCCAGGCCCAGGAAGCTGGGCAGAGGGCTCGGGCTAGACCATGAGCCCAAGGCAGGGAGATACCGCTGAGTCTAGGGAAGCCAGGGGCGCCCCAGGAGGCCAGAGCCAGGGCCCGCAGGCTGAGGCTGGACGCCCGGTCAACGTTCATGGGGTCTCCACGTGTGGTGCCAAGTGCAAGCTGACTCTGAGAGGCTCTGAGCCCAGCAGTGGCCATGGTCAGGGTGGTGCCTCGAGGCATGAGGCCGGCCGGGTAGGCTTGGCTGGCAGGACACAGCATGGCAGAAGTCCAGTCAGTGCCAGACCCAGTCAATGCCACCGGACCTGCCCAAAGCCTGTCTCTGGAGTCTGCCCAGCACGGCCAGGGTGCCCAGCACAGCCCAGCCAAAGGTTCGGGGAGGAGGCTGATGAGAGGCCAGGGCAGCCCAGCATGGTGCCCAAGTGGGTGAGGAGGGTGCAGGAGTGGCTTGGGGCAGGGAGCCAGGCATAGCAGCACTGACCACGGCAGAAGGGGTGGGTGCGGCCGGAAACTTGGGGCACTCCTGTGCAGGACGGTGGCCAGATTGGGGGAGGATAGAGAGGTTCTTGACACCGCACAGAAGGTGGCATCTCCGGGCAGTAGTGGCCTGAGGGACAAAAGGACCTGACATCCAGTCCCCCAGCCAACAGTGCAGTAGCTGGATGGGGCTGCAGTGCATTCCTGGGGGCTGACCACCTGGAGTACTGCCCAGAGGTAGGATGCCCAGCCTGAGGGGCGGCAGGCTAGCCTCGGTCAGGACCATGTGCTGGGGGATGTGGGGAAGGGGTGATAGACACAGTCCCCCCACCCCCCCACCGAGAGAAGTGCTCCCAGAGTCAGAAGGGCCGAGAGGAGGGGCTGCTTTTGTCAGCAACGCTGGGTCCCCTCTGTGGTCTCCTCCCCCCTGGGAAGGGTCTGCAGGGTGCCATTAGGAAGGTGGTCCCAGATGGGCCTGGGAGACTTTGGTTGGGGGTCTGTGGGGTGTCCTGGGAGTGTTGTGCCAGGGAACAGGCCGGGGCCGCTCCCTTCTGCACCCAGGGTCACTGTTGGCTGATGAGCAGGTATACCGGGGCCCTCTGCACTGCTGGCCAGTGGCCTCCTTGTACCTGGCCAGTGCCGGACCCCCACAGCGGCTTCTGGGGGTAACAATCATCCCAGGAGAGGCTCTTCTTGCCCAAACTCAGGGGTGGGGGTCTGTCCTCCTGAGGCAGGACTGGGAGAGCAGGCCCAGAAAGAGTAGTGGAGGGAGGGCAGATTGGGAGTGGAGGCTGGTGACCAGGCAGCCAGAGAAGTAACCCGAACTCAGGGTGACGGGCAGGGGATCTGGGACCAGGGAGCTTGAAGGACTATGCACCGGGCTGGGGAGGACTGGAAGTGGGGTTGGGGGAGCTGGAGGTCCCAGCTCTGCCTGCTCGGCACAGCCCAAGCCCGTGGCCCCCCTCTGGCTTCCTCTGATGAGCCTTTACAGCCATGCTCCCCGCGTGTCCCCCATGATGTCACCATGTCCCCCAGAGCTCAGCACAGACCTCCCCCTGAGGGGGAGAACCCCACAGAACCTCTGAGGGGATCTTCCCTGCAGTCCAAGAGCCAGACATCAGGTCAGCCGGCTCTCTGGCCAGCCTCTGGGGAGGACGCAGAGAGGCCACAGTGCTCTGTGACCACAGCCCACCCAGAGAAAAGGGTGGTGGAAGGGAGGAGAGGCCAGGTAGTGGTCTTCCCTCTGGACAGCCAGCCTGGCTGAGGAGGCCTTGGCCAGGCGCCTGACCTGGAGCTGCCCGGCAGGCCTCCGCCCAGGGGTGAGATTGGGGCGCACCTCACCCCCATCCTCACCCCTTCACCTGTAAGATGGAGGGGCGTCCACCGCGCAACATGAGAACCGGTAAGCGCCCCTATCCCCCGCCGTCCCACGTGGAATGGCAGGGGGCAGACAAGGGCCAGGCCCCCCAGGGGGGCAACCGGGGTGAGGGGTGAGCAAAGTGCTGTCGATGTGGTGCCAGGGTCCCTGAGGAGAGCGGGTCTGGACCCAGAGGGTGCCCCTTCCTCGTCTGCTCTCTGTGGGGAGTCGGGTGCTGGGCCAGGCAAGATCAAGCCCGGGAGGCTCACAAAGCCCGAGTCAAGCATCTCCGCAGCTGTCCACCCCTCCTCTGGCCAGGTCCAGCCCGGCCCCTCCCTCTCCTGGGGTCACCGGCAGGTGCAGGGGAGCCCCTCCCCTCCCCACGGCTCCTGGCCTCACCCGGGGTCCCCCAAGATGGCAGAGTCCCCATGCCCCATTTTACCCCCGAGCCGGCCTCCACCAGCCAGGGCGCTCTGGGCTGGGGCCCGCACTGGCTGAACTCCTGCCAGCGCCCGGCCCTGCCTCACCCACCAGCTTTGGCTCTGGGGGGCAGGATGCCTCCAGGCCAGACACACCCCAGGGGCTCCAGGACCTCTGTAAGGGCGTGGCCGCCGGAGGACAGGCTGGTCCACCTCCAGATTCTCTGGGTGGCCCTCCCTTCTGTTCCTGGCACCTGAGCCTCCCTGGCCCTCCTCTGCCCGCCCTCCCTCACCCACCAGCTTCCCCAGGCTCCCCCACCAGCCACTCTCCCAGGAGCTGTGGGCTCTGGGTTGAGGAGGAGCTGAGGCAGGACTGTCTGGGGGAGGGGTACATGTTACAGAGTGGAGGTATGGGCACTGCCCGCCCCCCTGCTTAGCGAGTAGCTGGTGCCCCTCCCTAGGACTCAGTTTCCCCTCTTGCAGCACCCTACCCCTCACTGTCCACTCTAGGTGTCTGCTGGGATCCATGGTGGAAGACCCCAGGGGAGGGGGCAACGGGAACCAGAGGCCTCTTCCATCAGGGCCTGTGGCCCTGCTCTTGGGGGCACCTGGGACCATGTAGCAGGCAGGGCCCCTAGAAGACCCCCAGCCAAGCTGCTGACCCCTGAGACTCACCGGGAGGCTTTCTGTCCTCAGCCCGCCCATCAGCCCCGGGGCCTTGGGTGGGCACCTCCGGGCAGACTGCAGGGAGCAGCATCATGGGGGGAAAGAGCTGCCTTTCCCAAGGCTACAGTAGGACCAAGGGACTGCAGGACCTCACTGGGCCGCACCAGCCTGGGGCACTTGGACACTCACACCCTCAGCAGAGACGGGCATGAGGAAGGGGGCAGGTGTGTGTGATTAGGGCAGGTAGGCCAGGTAGGGCAGGTGTGTGTCCTGGTGGGGTGGTAGGGAGGTGAGGGGCCATGTCCTGGGGGAGGCAGTGGAGAGCAGAGGGGCAGTGTCGCAGGGGCAGCAGAAGCGGTCTGCCAACGGCCAGGCCGCTGTCTTGGGCCTGGTCACAGGCCTGTGGGCGCTGGTGGCTTGAAAAGCCAGGGCTGCCTGTGGGGGTACAGGGGATGGGCGTGAGGGCCAGAGCCACGCAGCAGAACCTCTGGCTGACCCTAGGCCGGGCTGGACCGAGCAGACACGGGAAGCGGGTAATTGCCTTTCTCAGGAAGAAACCCAGCTGCAGGCGGCAAGGGGGCCAGGCCAGGGGCCCCCACCCCACCCCAGGAGAGCCTCCCCTCCCAGTTCCCAGAACTGAGCCCAGCTGCAGAGCGCGGTGAGGTCATGGGGAGGGGGCCCCAGGGCCCCATTACTCACATCCTGGGCAGGGGGAGCGAGGGAGGGAGGGAGGCCCAGCTCGCCTCCTTGTTCCAGGATCAGGAGCTTTAGGAGAGATGCTGAGACCCCTGTCCACACCCCAAGGGAGCCCTGCTCCACGTCCCTACCCAGCGAGGGCATGGGCAGTGCGACTACTACAGTGGTGGCCTCAGCAGAGGCCTGGCCAGGGCCTCGGGCCAAGGGCTGCCCCATCCTCGTTGTCTGGGCGACAGTGGGGAATAGTCAGCAGTGAGACCGGGGCGGGAGCGGGCCGGGCACATCTCTGCTCACGGGTTGATTCTGAGCGAGCTCAGGTGCGTGCGCACGCCGCATCTGTGGCTGCCTGTCCACTTGGAGCTCCGTCAGTGGGTGCGGGTGATGGCTACGTGGTGTCGGGTGCCCGGCATGGCATGGCTCTGGGTCAGGACACCTGAAGCCATGGGTCTGCCTGTCCTTGGAGGTGTGTGACACCGTCGCAAGTCCAGGCACAGTCACCTGCGTGCAGGTGGGCACATCCCCGGGTCCCCCCAAGACTGCAGGCTGTGGGCAGGGGCTGCAGAGGCACTCACTTACGGCTGAGTGCTCTTGGCCACGGGTGTCTGGTGCACACAACTGTGGGGATGGGGGGTGGACAGCAGCTGTCCTGGCTATGGTAGGGGGCCTGCGAGGTGTCAGGGTAGAGCCCAGATCCACACCGCCACACACACGCACACACACACGCACACACACACATAGTCACTCACACAGTCACACACCACACGCTCCTCCATGCAATCACATACCCACCACAGACCCTGTCATACACTGGGCATCTACCTAGTCACACACACTCACACCACACTGTCACATGCACATCGCCACACCACCCGCCGTCATGCTGGACACACACCACACACACGGTCACACACTAGGGTTTGTACACACGGCACGCCCCAGAGTGCACACAGTCACATAAATGGGGCACACACACAGTCACACCCTGGTGCTTGTGCACACATACAGCACACACAGAGCATGTACACAGTCATACAGTACGTGCACACTCTGGGACGCACAAGCACACAGTCACACACTGTCATAAGTGCACCCACACCACACACCCTGCCGCACAGTCACACACCAGGGCACGCACACAGATATCAGCACACAGAGACTCAGACCAGACCCATCCCCCGACAGGCAGGTACAAGGCATCCGTGATTGTGTGCGTGTGCAGACCGAGACATGGAAATGGGGGACACAGAAGGGGTGACCAGTCCCCTCCAAGGGCACTTCCCCATCCCCCCTCCGCTCCCCGTGTTCCCGGCCCTGCTCTCAGACAACAGCTGCACCACGTCTGGGCTCTACCTCCCCAGGTAGGGGGGCTCAGCCCCCGCACCCGCAAGGGCAGCCAGGCAGGAAGCGGGCCTCATCTGCCGGGCTGATGGGAGCCAGGTGTGAGAATGCGCAGCTTCCTCAGGGCCTGTGGGAGTGCAAGGCCGGAGCTGGCGGTCTGGTGTGCGTGGCTGGGGTCCCACGTGGCCGCGGGGGGAGCAAGCCTTGAACTTGGGTCTGAGGAGGGCCTGGCTTTCGTCTGCGGCTTCGGGAGACCTGGGGGAGAGATTAGATCATGGCCTGGCCATGAGCATTGCCAGAGCCGCCAATCAGGCTTCTCCCAGCCCAGGGCCCAGGGTCACGCGGCGGACACGCACAGGACAGGCCTGGGCCTGAGACCCCAGGCCTGCGCCTGGCTGTGGCGGGCAGGGGGCAGCCAGCCTATGGGCCTGGGGTCCCAGGCAGACCCTCGAACTGCTCTCGGCCTCTGCCTGCCGGTGGGGTGGTGAGCAGGGTCCCTCAGGGACAGCTGTGGGTGGGGCTGGAGTACTAAAGGCAACGTCTCTGAAAGGGCACCCGCCCACCCAGGCACCCACCCACCCAAAGAGGCCCTGGTGTCAGAGCTGAGGGTGGTAGTGGGGGACAAGGGTGGTGGTGAACCAACCACATCGGGTCCCTCAGCTATGAGGTCTGGCCCAGATGAGGCCTTGGCCATGGGCAAGGCAGGCCCCCCACAGGTCCTCACAGTCTAGAAGCCCCCGCCCCACTGGGCTCATTCTTGAGGGGCACAGGGGAGCAGCCTGAGGGATCTGCCCTGGTGGGACCCTGACCAGCCCCCCAGTGTCTGTGTGGCCTTGCCCACATGGGTTGGGGGTCCTCCCAGCCAGGACCGCTGGGGAGGGGTCTGCAGCCCGGCCCGTTGGGCTCCAATGTTCTCCTACTACTGTCTCTCCCACACGGCCTGTGTTTTCAGGGTGGGCCAACCCAAGCCCGATGGGGCAGGGAGAAGTGAGGACCTTTTACGGTCTCCTGCAGGGAGGGGAGGGGGCTGACGCCTGGCTCCCCCACCCCCTTCCCCCCAAGGCTCACCACCCAGTGGACCATGGAGGATGAGGAAGAGGCTGCCCAGGAGCGGCTGCTGCAGGTGGAGGACAGCAACCCCCAGGCCCCAGGGCCGGAGCAGGACAAGCTGTGAGTCCCCAACAGGGCACCCGGGACCCCGAGTCTGTAGATTCAGAGTCTAGGCAGAGAGGGTGCAGGGGAGAGCTGTGGAGGCAGGTCCCATGGCCAGGGGAGGAGTGTTCTCAGTCAGGGTGAGGGTCCTCGGTCACCCCGAGCTGATCCAGATTTGGACACCGCAGTGCTGCCCGGAAGGCCACCCCAGAGAAGTGGACTCGGGCTCTGGCCATCCTGCAACAGGACTGGTCCCCCTTGGGCTACCCCGGGCCCAGCTGCATGGCCCCAGCCCTGGGCTGTGACTCAGGGAGGACACTGGCAGTCTTGGCCCTGGCCCCAGGGGCTGAAGCCAATGGGTGGGTGCCCTCCAACTGTCTTCCCTTCCTGCTGCCCACCCGGCTCCACAGGCCCTCAGCCTAAGGGGACACTGGACTCCCAGTGAGCACAGGGACTGGGAGCCTGGGGCCCGAGACAAAGGTACACTGAGGAGCAGGACTGGTGGGGGGACACTGCCCTGCCCTCAGGGGGCCCCAGACTGATGGAGGAGACACTGCCCTGCCCTTAGGAGGGGTGTAGACTGATGGGGGGGACACAGCCCTGCCCTCAGGGGGCCCCAGACTGATGGGGGGGACACAGCCCTGCCCTCAAGTAGGTGCAGACGGCTGGGGGAGACAGAGGCACTTCCTCCAGGAGCCCCAGATAGAGGAGGGAGGTATAATCCTAGACCAGTAAGAGAGAAGGGGTAGCTGGTGGCCCAGCACTCAGAGGTTCCCTCCTCTTCCAGGCTCTCCCCAAAGCCCTCAGAGACCCCTGAAGTGGACGAAGATGAAGGTTTTGGAGACTGGTCGCAGAGGCCAGGGCCGAGGGGCTTGCCCACCAAGGACGGCGGCCGGGAAGTCGCTCCGGGGGACACGTCCCAGGAACTGGAGCCGAAGCAGACCCCGTGAGTGCTGCAGACCCTCCTCGAGCCCCCCCCGCCCCCCCACCACCGCCGACCCTCGCCCAGCTCCGTGGCCTCCCTCCCAGCCAGCCCAAGATGGCCTTGTGGCCGTTGGGGTGGAGGAGAGGGGCCAAGGCAGGAAGGAGTGAGCCAGGAGGGAGGCCGAGGGGCCTGCAGGGTTTGAGGGTGGGGGGCGGTGAGAACATCTCATTCCTGGGCTCTATCCAGCCAGCACAGCTGCGGCCGGGCGGGGGCCGTGGGCCACGTCCGCTCCTCTGAGGCCCACTTACGTAATGGAGCCTCCAAGGCCCCAGGGCCGCCCGCCCCTCTCTCCCTCGGGCCTGGCCGTCCTCCATTCCCACGGAGGAGGGGAGCAGGTATTTCCAGATGTGGTCCGGGAGACAGCTTTCCAGACGAGCTGTTCCCCAGGCCTCCCACTCCCCATAATTCAGGGACGAGGCTGCTGTCAGGCACAGTGACCCTCATTGTATGGAGGGTAGCTGGGGCCCTGCCTTCTCTCAGTCACCCCCAGACCATCCTAAGCACCTCTCTTGGTCCCCAACTCCCCACCCCCCCATCTGAACCCAGGATCCCGCACCCCAGGGGTCAGCAGGTCCTGGCTCGGCGGCCCACTGCCCATCCCACATCTATGAGGCCTGGGTTTCCCTGTCTGCCCCAGGCCGATTGGAACACTGCCCCCCACCCCATCCCACCCCACCCCACCACATACTGCATCTCCGAGAGGGGCTGGGGCCAGCAAGGCAGGCCTGTCCACAGGCTCTGGGTTCCCCCACATCCTGCTGGCCGGCCGGCCCACTGTGTCCAACAGCAGGGGGCACTTGTACTCTTCTGAAGAAGGCCGGCGGGCGTTGGCGCCCACCCCTGCACCTGCCTCCTGAGCCCTGAATGGCGCTCTGTGTGGCTGCCCTGGCTCAGACCCCAGCCCACCTTGGAGGGGTGGGTCTGGGCTGTGGCCGACACGTACACCAGGGCCTGAGACTATGGAAAATACCAGCGTTCCCCTCTCCGCCGCCCAGTCCCAACTCCGCGCCAACGAGGACCATGCTGGCTGCCGGCCGGCACCTCCTCTTACTGTGGCCGGTGTGGCTGGCACCTCTCCCCGTGGTCCCCCGCCTGGCCCTGTCCTGCCGCTTACCCAGCACCCCACCACCATGCCCGGCCACCCACAGACCCCACACCACCTTCCCACCCAGCATCCTCCTCCTTGGGCCTATTGGCTCCATGCTGTGCTGGCCAGAGGGGATGGCGAGGCCACCGCGGTGTGGACGTGGGAGTGCTGGGCACAGGCTGGAGTTCATCTGGACAGTCTGAGAGCAGGCTCTCAGAGTGGGGGGGGGTGCTCTGCTGGACACGTGGAGGGCTCCTTGTCATGAGGGGTCAGTGAGATGCCCAGGGAGGGGCTGGCTTGGGGGCCCTCAACCTTACCTCTCCTAAGACACTGTAGCTACTGCCCCCCCACCCCACCCCCTGCCCAGTTGCTTGTGCCTCGGAGCGACCCTGCCCTGCAGAAGCGCGTCGGCGCTGCCCGGGCCCTGAGGTGGTCAGTGCCTCCAGTAGCAGGCAGCCGCGCCTTTCTCCTGAGCGACGCCGGGTGGATTCGAAAGACTCGTCCGTAGCAACCCAGCGCTGAATTCACAGCTCCACCAGGGAGCCCTCCTGAGACCCCCCAAACCAACCCCTACCATGGAGTGGGTGCCCACTCTCAGAGACCCCTGGGTCAGAACAGAGCTGTGCCCACGTGTTCCTGAGATGGAAGCACTCTCTTCCTCCCACTGACCAGGTGGTCAGCAGCCTGCCGCTTCATCCACTGCACCACCAGGGCTCCTCCTTGGGCACCAGGGTCTCTCGGTCAGGACAGGCCACTCGTCTGATGGCCCACCTTCCTGGAGGACGAGCGGGGTCTTAGAAAGGGGCAGGGGCTCAAACCAGGTGAGGGAGCAAATGCCCTTCACTCAGCCCTGCCTCCCTCTCCTCCACACAGGTCCCACGGGCACCAGCAGGAAGACGTGGAGCCGGGCCAGGCCCAAATCCCCCTGGAAGAACTCTGCCTCAGCCCAGAGGGGGAGCCCCGGGAGGGGCCGGAGGAGCCCGTCCAGGGCCCCCAGGAACTAGTGGAGGCTGAGGAGGCTGAGGAGGCTGAGGAGGAGGTGACAGTGGCCCCACCCTGGACACTCTAGGAATTCTCCCCAGGGGCTGGGTGGGTCTTTGCTGCCTGTACCCCCTGTGTGTCAGGGAGCTGGCCATGACCCCCATGTACCCCACAGGATCTGTGTATTAGAGCACGAGGGCCCTCGGGGTGAGTTTGTCCTCTAACCCCGGGCTCCTGGGCCCTGCATCACAGATGCCACCCAGAGCATATCAGGGATGGATGGAGCCTGGGGCTCTGGCTGGCAGGGGAGCGCTGCTCCAGCCAGCGCCAGCGCCAGGAGGGGTCGGAGTGGCCAGTCATCCAGACCCCATCGCCTCCAACTTTCTCTCCATAGCTCCCACGATGCCAACAACCCAGGACCCCCAGCCCCTTGGCCTTGGAGGAGGGTCCTGGGCAGAGCACACCTCCCCAGAGCCCCACCACCGAGGTAGGTCGAGCCCCAAAGCCAGCTCTCCTTCTCTCTGTCTGGCTCATGGTCAACGTGATGACCCTGGGAAAGTGGCCTGGGTCCACTCTGGGAGGACAGGGAACATATCCATGTGCCCTCTGTCTTCTCCCCCAGGACCGGACAGTCAGCAAGTCCTGTGGCCGAGGTTGTGGTGATGGACGAATGGGTGGAGGGAAAGAAAGAATGATGGGTGGGTGGATGGACAGATGGATGGGAAGGAGTGAGACTAGTGAGATGGATGGAATGGGTAGAAGGGAAAGACAGGGAGGGAGAAGAAAGGATGGATGGATGGATGGATGGATGGATG